GGGGGGGGGGGGGTGCGAGGAGATGATCTATAAGGATCGGATAGGATTGGGGACGTGGTGGGTAAGGTTTGGGCAGCGACGTGGTGTGGTGGTGTGGTGTGGCTGCGCCTGGCTACGGTCAGCGGTTGATGGGGTGGCCAGAGTGTGGGTAAGGGAATGAGTATGTACTGGTTGTCGGAGGAGAAGGGGGGTATGCATGGCTACCAACGTGAGACAGAGGCCGATGGGAACGACGGCTGGGCGGCGCCTGCAGAATCGAGTGGGTTCTTGGCGAGATCCTCGATGTCGCAGGCGGGGAGGTACGAGTATTCGGTCGAGGTCGACGAGTGGATCGACATTGAGCTCGGCGGGCGGAGCTCGGACGGGTTCGGCGGAGCGGCAACACCCCACGGTGCGGGAACAGGCTCGCTCGGGAGGAGAGGATAGAGGTGGAAGAAGTAGTGGGCAGCAAGGGTGAGCGAGACGGTGGTGGCGGCGGTGAAGATAACGGCGGCGGCAGCCATGACCACCGCGCCCTGGGCAAGGGCGGCGTCGTCGCCAGCGCCAAGGCCGAGAGCGGAGGGGTAGCTCGCCAGCGCGTACAACTCAGAGCCATGAACGACAAGGGTGGGGAGGGCGAGCAACGAGAGTGCACCGTGGAGGGCAAAGGAAAGCCACGAGGTGGCGAACAGGCCGTGGGCGGCGGATGCGGAGGCCAGAGCGGCTGCGACGGCGACGCCAATGGCCACACTGCGGTGGCGGGCCGCCGAGGTCGGAGTGCTGTCAGCCACGTCGAGGGCGTGGACGATGGCGGCGGCGGCAACAACAAGCTGGAGAAGAGCTGCAAGCGCCATGCCTCCGCGCACAGCGCGCGAGGGCGGGCGCTCGGCAGCCGGTGATAGCAAGAGCGACTGGGTGGCGATGAGCGGCATGCGCGACGATGATGACGAGCTCAGCAGCGGCCCGCTCATCGGCGCCAGCGCGCCCGAGGTAGACGACAATGACATGCTTCGCACCGATGCCTCATCCTCGGACGAGATCGAGATCGAAAGCGAGTTCGAGTTTGAGTCGAGCGCCATGTGCGATGAGGTCTCGGATGAGCTCGAGTAGCTCGACGACGAGTAGCTCGAGTAGCTCGCGTGCTCAGGCTGCTCGCCAGCGGCGGTCACGACGAGCCCCGCCGGCCGCAGCGGCACAGAGATCCAGGCCAGGACGGCCGAGACAAGCGTCTGCAGGGCAGCGACAGCGGCAATGCCCACCACCAGCCGGCGCTCGGCATTACAGCCGTCGCCCAGATGCAAGCTTGCCGGTGCAACGCCTGGCGAACAGATCGAGGCAGAGCGGCCCGGGCTAGCGGCAAAGAGCGCCGAGGCAAGCGGGGCAAGGCGGACGGCGGCAGATGCTGCTACTCCGGTTGACACCAGAGCCAGCGGCCACGCCATGCGAGCGCGGAGGCGCACCAGTGCGCCCGAAACACCCGCAGCAAGCCCTGCAGCAGCCGCCGTCCACGCCAGAGCCTGTGGTAGAGCCAGAGCGGCCTTGGACGGCGAGCCGGTGCCAGGGGCGACACGGCCGCCCAGGACAGCCAGAGCGACAGCCGAGGCGATGGCAAGACAGGCGAGGAGGATGCGTGCCAGAGCCAGCGGATCGTCCCGAGCAGCAAACGGCGCGGCCGAGAGATGGCCGGCAAAGAGGGTGGCAACTGCGGGAACAGCCACGGCAACGAGAGCCGCAGCGACGGGGGAGAGGTTAGGGCGAGGCCAGAGCGGATGCAGGAGGGCAAGGAGGAGCGGGAGAAGGGCGATAGCGGGCGAGACAGGAGCCGCCGCCGGGAGAAGTACAGCAGCAAGACCACAACCAACAACGATGAGCGTTGTGAGGCCAGCAGCTAGCCATAGAGCACGAAGTACAGCAGGAGAGGGCGAGAGAGTGAGCGCAGCCGCGCTCGCCCGCCACTCGTCACCACCGGCGAGGACGACGACAGCCAAAGCAGCCACAGCGAGAAGAGCAGAGAGTGCACAGAGGCACAAGAGCCGTATGCTGTCCAACCTCATCACCAACACCACACCCAACTGGAGTGAGAGAGCGAGGTATGCTCGCCGCCCGGTGTCGTCGCTCCTCGTCCTCGGCTCCGGTGGATGGCGCCAGCAGCAAGCAAGCGAATGCTGTCACGGTGTGACCAGTGGAGGGCTTACTATTTTTTACGGCGGTATGACTGGGACGGGGAATGAGGGAGAGTGCGAGATCGTGAGAGAGAGAGTGTGTGTGGGTGTGTGTATGTGTGTGTGATAAGGCGAGTGGTAGAGGGAGAGCGCGCGCGAGTCGTCAGCAGAGATGGTGGTGGTGGGTGGTTGGGGGTGGCTGGAGGATGGTGGAGAGAGTGAGGATGACATCAAAATTGGACAAGTGTTCGTCTCATTGACAATGGATGAGACACAGCAGAGCCGTTGAGAGCTCCTGTGTTCCAGATCACGTGCTGGGAAGTTGTTGCAGGGAGTTTAGCAGAAAGGCATCAGGCAGGTGACTGCAGGGTGCCACTTGCCGTGGGATTGTGCGCCGGTCCCAAGCAGTGAAAAAAGACTGATCTCACTACGGCGATAAGACGACCGCCACATAGGACATCCGTAAGTGGTGCGACGTACAACTTGTTGGGTGTTCAACATCGACTGCAGCATACTCTGGTCACTTGGAATCCCTTTCTGGGGCGTCGACGACCGACATTCCGTCTCATCCCACACTCCAAGAGGCCATCCTCTGTCTTGGTTGCAGCTCAGGACCACCGAGCATCCGGCGGCCCACCAGGGAGAGGCTGGCAATGTGGATGATAGTGCCAACAACATGTGACGACACTGGTTGCCATCGGCGGACCGGCTGAATGGACATCTCCCCCGTTGCAGGTGTGAGATAATGTGTGTGCTCCCGAGTCGATGAAGGGGAGGGCGGCCGATTGACGTCGCTGACTGTGCTCGGACGACCGAGGTCGTTGGAGGCGCGCGCAGTTTCGGGTGCGACGAGATCGCTGGGCAACCGAGAGCGTTGAGTTTTACATTAGCTTGCCACAGCTGTAGCCGCTGCTGGGCCGGCTTTCAAGGCACGGGTGCGGCGGGGACGAAAGGGAGGTTGTCTTATTTAGGGATCAATCAGATCTCGTGAGAGGTACGGCATGCACGGCAAAGGTGGTGCTGATGCTTGCGGAAAGCAAGCCACACATCCAAATCATCCAACTACGACGCAGATTGTGGATAGCTACATCTTACATCTGTAGCCAAGTCGATGGCCAGTTGGTGCACATGTAGGTGCGGCGAGCACTCTCTTGTTCCGACGGGTTGTTCCTTCTCCTCTTCCCTGCGAGGGAACATCGTCAAGCGGATGCTATCTGTTGTGGCCCCATTGGATGCGATAAAGAGTCGATCCCGCCAGCAGCATGTATTAGAAGGCCATAAGCGTACAACATGCGAGGCGATTGCTCTGATGTAGTGAATGCGGTGGCCAAACGGCAAAAAACGTTTGCTTGGGCTGCGCATGGCGGGCGGAGTGGGACGGCGGCGGTGTGGCAGTTTTTGGGAGGGATCCTTCCCCTGCGGGACATTTTGTGGAGCGTGGGAAGGGGGGGGGGGAGGGAGGGAGGGGGTCAAGAGAGGGTGAGAGAACACCCAACTTACGTGTACTCGACAAGGTTGTACTACGACATGGACACTCTTGCTACTCCCCGTTCTGATGTTTCTGCTGCGTCTGCCATGTCTGCGGCGTACGCGTCGACACTCGACGAGCACAACGAACAGCGTGCGCTGGCCGAGGCCATGGTGCCGATGCTCGGCAAGCTGTACCGGTCCAACACGGTGGTGTGCTCTGTCTTTGGCAACGAGCTGATGAACGTGACCGTCATTGGCCTGCTCAAGATCCACCGTGCTGTCCGCCATGTTGTCCCGCATCTCCCGGCCGGCATCTCTATCCACGAGACCATGCCGTTCCTCACCGCACTCGTGGAGCTCGGGACGGAGCTTGGCCCGTGCCACGTCGATCTCGGCAAGCTCTCGGTGGCGTACACCCGCGAGGGTGGCTCGATTGATGACGATGCTGCCGTGGCGGCATACGTCCTCAACCATGTCCAGCATGTGCTCGGCGCCGGCCCGATGATGGATCTCGGCCGTGGGCGCGACGTTGTCCTCTTTGGCTTTGGCCGTATCGGCCGGCTGGTGGCGCGGGTGCTGCTGGAGAAGACCGGTGCGGGTGACATGCTTGCGCTGCGGGCGATTGTGGTCCGCCCGCACATGGACCCGGTGCAGGACATCCGGAAGCGGGCATCGCTGCTGAAGCGCGACTCGAGCCACGGCAAGTTCAAGGGCATGATCGAGGTGGATGAAGCCGGTGGCTTTCTCATTGCCAACGGCGTGCGGATCAAGATGATCTACGCCAAGGATCGGACGGCGATCGACTACACCGAGTACGGGATCGAGGACGCAATCCTGATCGACAACACCGGCATTTGGCGGACGCGCGAGACGCTCGCCGAGCACGCCAAGTGCCCGGGCATTTCCAAGGTTGTGCTTACCGCACCCGGCAAGGGCGACGTGCCGAACATTGTGGTCGGTGTCAACTCGGACAACATCGACATGGATGAGACGGTGTACGCGGCAGCGTCGTGCACAACCAACGCAGTCTGCCCTCCGCTGCAGATCCTCGACGCGCTGTACGGCATCGACTCGGTCCACATCGAGACCATCCATGCCTTTACCAACGACCAGAACCTGCTGGACAACTTCCACAAGAAGGAACGTCGTGGCCGCGCCGCGCCACTCAACCTTGTCCTCACCGAGACCGGGGCGGCCAAGGCCGTGGCCGGCGCGCTCCCGCAGCTCGCGGGCAAGGTCACCGGCTCGGCCATCCGGTGCCCGACGCCCGACGTCTCGATGGCCATCCTCATTGTGACGCTCAAGCGCGACACGACCGTAGACGAGGTCAACAACGCCCTCCGCCACGCCGCGCTCGCCGGCCCGCTCCAGCAGCAGGTCATGTACTCGGACTCGCGCGAGGCCGCGTCGACTGACATGGTCTCGTCGACCGCGACGACCATCGTCGACTCGCCGTCGACCATTGTCCACGGCAACCGGACCAACATCTACTGCTGGTACGACAACGAGCTCGGCTACGTCCACCAGGTTGTCCGCCTGGTCGAGATCATCGGCGGCGTCCAGCGCGTCGTCATCCCAGCCCGGTTTGATGACGACGACGAGTAAGGAATCACCGGCCGGGGGTAAAGCTTCCAAACGTATGATTATGGGCCAAGGCCGCCGGTCGGGTGCCGACCCAGCGTCGCCTCGTACGCCGGATCGTCACGGGCAAGCGCCGGTGAGTTGAGGATCATTGCGAGCATGCGGTAGAGAAAGACAGCAAAGACGACGCCAAAGATCAGCCTTTGCACCGTCCCGCTAGTCCAGCTTTCGTCGTCGATGTCGAGGCTGCCGGCGCTCGGCCCTGCCGCCCCGGAGCCGAGCCCGGCCATGAGCTCGTCGGGCAGGCCGTCGACAGGCGGCATTGGGGCGCGCTTGCGCCAACTCGCGCCGCCGGAGTTTGATGGCGCCCGGTCGCCAGCCATCGCCTTTGCGTACGCTTCAGTCAGCTCGCGAAAGTGATGCTCGTTCTCACGCGGCGGGATCTCCACGCCCGGAACCTGCATCTGTTCCAGCTTGGCGATCATCTCTTCCTGCAAGAGAAGGGGAGGGGGGTGGCGGTGGGGGGTGAGTGGCTTCACGACTCGGCTAGATTTGATCGCTGATGTTGGCGGGACTTGATCCGACCTTCATCGACCTGGCCCGACGTGATCGCCTGGGAAATCTGTCGCGTTTGGTGTGCAGGCGGCGGCCTTGTCCGTGGTAGCCTGCTCTGTGCCCGGTTGCGCGGCTTTTTCGGCCGCTTGTGCCCTCATTGCTTGATGCTCACTTCTTTGCAGCAGCCACGGCCATGACGGCCTCGGCGGCAAGATATGAGGCCGATGTTTTCGTCTTCTTGGCGGACGTGACTGTCACGTCTGGGTTGGTGCAAGACATCAACACTGTAGCATGACTCTTGCGATGTCCATGATCTGCGTAATACTATGGCTTCTGTGACCGGCGAACACATCGGCCTTTCATGGAGGATATGATGCTGCAATGCTGCGATGGTGCTTAAGAGGGGGGGGGGGTGCGCGGTGTGGTACGTACATGGGAGACACGTCGGTAGCGGGGTTGGGAGGAAGGAAGATTGCCCAAGAGGTAGTCCATGCGCATTGCAGATACATCTTCGTCTGTGGGCGTCGAGTACAGCGCCATGGCCTGGTACTCGTCCGAGAGCGACACGTGTGGGGGTATGGCGTGTGGGTGGCGTGTGGTGGCTTTGCCAAGCTGACACCTGCTACTCTCCAGCTCGACTCGACTATGGCGGTGATCTGACCTCACATGACCTGCTGGCGCGGGCAGGGCCATCAATCAATCAATCGTGTGCAGAGGCGGGCTTTGTAGTGTGTGCTACTGCAGATGCAAATCAATGTCCGCTCCCTCGTGGGTGAGAAAGCTGCCAACTGGGACGGGGGTAAGCGTGCGGGTCAACTCGGCGTAGAGCGCAGACCGCGGCGTGAGGGGAGGAAGACTGGTGCCAGGATCAAGATCGGGCATTGTGGCAACGAGCACGGCATGGAACGAGGCTGATTGCACTCCATGGAGGAGGTACTCGATCCGGAGGACACCGTCCCAATGCCACGGTGCATCGTGAGCGGCCTCGGTCATGGCGTCGGCAGCGGCGCAAAGGATCAGACCCGCCTTTTCAAAGGGCACCGCACTCAGCGCGTGGGTAATGGTGCCATCGTCGCCACCAGTCCGCACTAGGACAGTGTACGAGTACGCGACGGGACAGCCGGTCCGGCGAGTCCAGCCGTCTTCGCGGATCGACATCAGCTCGGGCGATCCCAGCACAGACACAGAGTCGACCTTGGGGCGCGAGCCCAGGATCCAATCCTCCAGCGACACGCCAGTCGGGACGAGCTCGCCGTCAGGCACACCAGCTGCTGTCACCAGATGGGCCAGCGGAGCAACGTCGTCGACTGTTGCGCCGGCATCAACCAGCTCGCGGCCCCAATCGCAAAGCTCGCTGCCTCGCAGACGGCGGCCATCAGCAAGCTGCTCCAGCGTCAGCCATGCTCCCCCATTCGACTCGGCATCAGCCACGGACTTGGCCTTGGCTTCTGGATCGATCGGCGACGCTGCAAAGATGAACCTTAGCCTGCGCGGGCTCTGCTCCACCCGCAGCACGCCCTTGAGCTCGATGGCCACGCCGGCCTCCTCCATGGTCTCTCGATGTGCCGCGGCCTCGGGAACTTGTCCGGCATCCATATGTCCAGCAGGGAGCCACCAACCACGATCGCGTCGCGAGCTTCGTCCACTGCCAGAAATTCCATCGCACCCGACTTGCGCGACTTGCGCGACTTGTCCGACGGGGCTGGCCGGCTCACCACCACGACGGCAAACGGCGACGTCGCCACCGTCTTCTGGTGCACCCTTGCCTCGTCAGCCATTATCACCAGACGGCTGCCTCTTTTATGGTAAGCTCTGTCGCGACCTTGTCCAGCGAGGCAGTCTGCGAAGAGCAAAGAGAGCAATGGCCGTCGATGGTGGCCTCCAGCTGGACTCCAGCTCTGACAGGAATGGAAGCTGGTGCTTCCATTTGGCGGACAGGGGCCTGTGCCGACAGCAGAAACGCTCGCAGGAGAGTGCACAAACGCCAGATAGCTCGTACTGGAGGACCATTGTGATGGTCTAGGTCCGATCGCTCCCATGATGGCGTGATACGATTCATCACACATGGTCACGAGATGGCCACGCTCCCCAACCTTCCCAATCTCCATGATCTCCATGTACATGTCCACGACCGACGCGAAAGGGTAGCGATGGACATGGCGTTCTTTCTCATCCACCACCGATTCTGTTTCCTGGCTTTCATCAGCCTGCCGTTGCTAGATCGCCCGAAATAGCAGTAGATATGTGTGGGACAGCCCGCACCCCTTGGCAATCAAATTGGGGGGAGGGCGCGTCAGGCCGCCGCGTTTGGTTTGAGCAACACACAACACACTCAGCTCAACCGCATATCATGAGCAACGATTTCGACCTTGTCAACGGCGACATCAATGCATACTGCTGGTCAAAGCTGTATCCCGCCTGGGGAGTGGGCATGGCAGTGGCTGGCATTCCTGCGCTGGCCTTTGTGACGCTGGGTACGACGAGCGAGTGAGACGGGCGAGTTGGCGAGTTGGCGGGGGGGGGGGGCGCGTGCCGCTGGTGAAGCGCGTCACGGCAAGCGGTTTGCGGGGGGTGGAGGGCACGTGGTAGGCGTCTGCGGGAGATTTACTCACACACGGCGACGGGGGTTTGCGGTTGCGGGGAGATGGGCAGCACCGATTGCAAAGCGGATGCCTATCTCGGCACGATCGGGGATTGCGGTCAGTGCGCTGGTGGCTGGTGGCTGGGTCAACAGCGAGACGACGGTCATGTCGTGCCGGGCCAAGCTGGAGAAGGCGCGCCGGATTTACGCGCGGGAGCAGGCCAAGGCCGAGAAGCAACAATAAACGAGGGCGCTATGCAGTACCAAGGGCCTGTGGCTCGAACCAAAGCTGATCGCCCTCCGACTGGCCGGCGGGTGACGGCGGGAGGGTGTGGTAGGCCGGCGGTGGATCGTCGTACGCCGGTGGGAGCTCGCGCTCGGAGAGGAGGAGCGAGGAGCGGATGGAGGTGAGGAACGGCGGGAGCTCGTTGTCGGGCCGAGTGACGAGGGTGAGGATGGCGAGTGAGAGGATGGCGCGCTCGGCGCCCGGGATGGGAATGGCGAGCGAGCGCGAGACCGCCCATGCCCACACCACAAGCACAGACTTGTAGGCGCAGTAGAGGGTGAGCTCGGAGACCCGCTTCGGCTTTTCCCACAGAAGCGAGACAGCGGTGGCCATGCCGCCAAACAGCGAGACGAGGCCCGAGTCGTAGCCAAGGATGCGCCGGCCAGCGCAGACGCAGGCCTTGAAGATGGCCTGGTAGGTCGAGAGAAAGGCTGCCGAGCCGGCAATGTTCTTGCCGAGCGAGACCAGGGTGCGCATCGTCCGCTGCGGGTCGCCCGACGTCAGCGCGCGGCGCTTGTACAGCAGGACCGGGAGGAGGTGGACCGGGACGTAGACCCAGAGCGCGCGACCGATGCCGGCCACCCAATCGACAGTGATCGCACCTGCACACGACGGCCCGGCGTGGTAGCCATTGACACAGTCGACAAGTGGGAGCGCAGACGGATCTGCGCCCTCGGCCACGGCGCGGCGCCGTGCACGCACCACGGTCTCCAGCTCGCGGTGCGACATGGCCGAGACCCGCAGCATCCACGAGTAGTATGACCGCTCTAGCAGCGCCGGCTCGAGAAAGGCGGCATACATGATCGGCCCGTTGACCAGCGCAAAGGCGGCGTACGAGACCCACGGGGCGAGCGTCACACCAGCTGCCGCGAGCTTGGCCTTGCCCAGCGCCGCCACGGCGCGGACGCCGAGGAAGACGCCTGCCGACGGCCGTGCTAGCGCGTACCCGTGGCCCAGCGTCGCCAGCGCGGCGCCGATCCCGCCGATCCAGCGCGGCGAGAGCATTCGCCGCGGCTGAGGCGTCGCCTCGCGCGATGCCACATACGCTGGATACAGGTTTTCCACCGTCAGATCGTAGGCGAGCGTATACGAGAAGACAAACGAGCCGAGCATGGCCGACTCGTACGAGGCGATGGGCGGGAGGAGGACGCCCTTGACGAGCCCCTTGGCCCTTGCCTTGCCCGAGAAAAGCAACATGAGCGAGGAGAGCAGCGCATCACCGATGCGGACCTTTGTAGCAGCCAGCACAGCATTGATGGTAATCCGCAGCGTTCTTGCCAGCGACGGCGGGAGGGCGTCTACCAGTGATCGATACTCATCGACCATCATCTCCCAACCAAACACCACTGCATCCCGAACCCTTGCAACCATCGACGATACACCGCCATGGCCACCAATCACTACACTCATGATTCGATGTATGTGACTGTGGTGTGACAGAGAGCGAGCGGGCGAGCGAGCAAGTGCGGCAAGTGCGCAAGCGAGCGAGCGAGCAAGTGAGCAAGCGAGCGACGAAGATGACACGTCGAGCGAGGCGAGGGTACCTTGAACGGGCAAAGTATGCCTACAGACAAGGCTGTTGAGGACTGAGTTTTGAGACGAGGTGGATAAGAGAGTGAGGAGGGCCAAAAGCTGCTGCTTGCTCTTCCTCCGTAGTATATGCCTGCGGACCTCGTCCTTGAGCTGTGTGTTGGCCCGCAAATAGTCTCGGCTGACGCGGCCTCACCTCGTTCGCCTTCCAATCTCAGTCTGACCAGGATGAGAGGGGATGGGGAGGGATAGTGATGCGTGAGCAATGTATGTCTTGATTGCCTTGGCGTATGCGTGTAGGAGAGAGAGAGAGAGTGTGTGTGTGCGTGTGTGTGTGTGTGTATGGAGATCAAGGAAGATCGAAGGAGATCGAGCGCTGCTTCCACTGTGGGAGGCCATGACGATGGCTGTGGTAGGCATGGTAGCAGGCATCACGAGTGATATGACGACTGCCGCGTCCTGGATGCATCAGTAACAGTGGGCAATGGTGGGCACGGGTGCGCCGTGTGCCGTGTGGCACCTATCAGAGAAGAATTGGATTATGCCCATGCGTAGGTGCCGAGGGCAAGGACCACGGCTTGGAGGAGCAGCTCTCCGCGGCCGATGGCACCGTTGGAGAGCATAGCATGCGGATCTTGCGGATCGCAGGCGGTCTCTTCAGCAAGAAACGAGCCGACAGTGCGGGAGAAGCCGACGGCGCGGGCAGCGTCGACATGCTTGACAGGCACTTTGACGCCGGCCGAGTGGGCCCATGACTCGGATCGGGTGGCGATGTCGACGACCAAGACCCAGCAGAGATCAAACCACTCCCCAGGCAGCATTTCAACCACGCCGTTCTCAAGCGATACAACAACTCCGATAGCATCGTCATCGAGCGAGTCGAGCACGGCCTGAGCACGCTGCGACGCACCGCGCCGCGTCTCCTCATGGCCGACCGGCTGCTCGGCCACACCAGAGCCAACCTTGACCGCCACCACGTCATCGCTGCGGCCTTCCCGACGGCCTTGGCCACGGACTCGACCTTGACGGGCGAGCCAGAGGCGACGTAAATCTTGCCGGCGGCCGACATAGGTCTCGAGACCAGTGCGGTCGACGTCGTCCGTCGCTGACCGCCTGCGGCTGGTTCCGTGCAGAGCTGCGGGATCGGAGAATCGAATGTGTTTATGTTGACGTAGCCGAACACGGCGCCGTCGTTGGTGGTCGCCACCGGCATGGCGCCGCCGGTGCGGCTCGACTCGGCGAACGGAGAGCTTCTCACTGTGACGGCCGTTGCGGCCATGACGCGCACGCTCGCGGCGAGCCTGACTCGTTCTTCGCGTTGATGCACTGCGTGCCGCGGCGCGTGGCTGCCGTCGGCCATTTCTTCACCGACGTGATCAGCCTCGTGCTCGCGGAGGAGATTGCCGACGCTGCGGTGGCCTTTCCCACGGGCGCCGGCTTCGAGTCGGTCGGCGCGCTCGTTGCTGGCCTCTCAACGGCGCTCGAGTACCTCGATTCTTTGATCTTGAATGGCTCAACACGCGCCACCGCCGCACGTCCTCGCTTCTCATGTCGGCGTCGGCCACACCGACCGGCAAGCTCGTCCGTCGCAAGAAGATCCACAATGTCCTCGCGCTCTCCCGTCTGACCGCTGTGTTCAACTCTGGCATGCTCTCCTTCCCGGTCGTCGGGGGTCGTCAACGACAAGCTCCACACCGTCCGCGCCCGCCACTCCTCGGCATCGGCACCGTGCGGCACCTCGCGCACCTCGCCATGCTCCCAGGTCAGGCATCCTTCAGGCGGGCATCTACGTGTCGGTTGCCATCACGTGCGGGTACGGCTCCCACCTCAAGCCGCAGGCCAAGCAAGCGTCGCCCAGCGCCGGCCGGTGACCTGGAAGTCAATCATCATCGAGTTAATCACTTGAGCCGCGCGACAACGCGTCGCAACGACCGTACCCATTCAGGGATAAAGGTTATCACGGCACACTTGGTGAAACAATGCATTGGGGGAAGGGGGGCAGTTCTGTGGGGCGGCCGTTTTCCAACGGCGATCGCGAGTGCGAGCCATGTCCAAAGGGCTCTGTTGGGCTGTTTACGCTGTTTGTGCTTATTGCCATCGCTTTGTCTGGTACGATGGCCGCTGTGCTTGCGTGGCGTCTTTCGCGCACAGCGCAGTTACACGCCCAGGCCGCTGCGTCGTCATCTGGCAACCTGATTCGGCTGTTTCGAGCCAACATGGTGCCTGCAACGTTGTCGATGGTGCTTGTCGCCTTCCAGGTTGTCGGCATCCTTGCCGACGCCAAGCTGGCGTGGACAGATGCGTCGCGCGCACTGTTGCAGCCGTTCAACATCTTCAACGTGGATGTGGACGTGTTTGCAACCGAGTGCACCCTGATTTCGTTTTACGCCAAGTACGCGTTTTCTGTGCTCTCGCCGATCTTTGTCATTGCGTGTACCATGGGGATGATGCTTGTGATCAAGGCTGTACTCTCGTCGCAAGTGCGTGTTTACGCGCCACTCTCTGGCTTGGCGACGCGAACGGTCGTGGATGCGGTGACGTTCTCCCTTGCGCCGCTGCTCTACATTCCAATGTCGCGAGCGGTCTTGGTCTTTTTTGACTGCTCCAAGCTTCCAGATGGCTCGTACGGGCTGGACGCCGATCCCGGCATCAAGTGCTTTGACGCTGCGTGGTTGCAGACGCTGCCGCTCGCCGCCGCGGCGCTTCTTATTGGTGTCATCGGTGTGCCGGTCTACTTTGCCTTTGCGATGGCCAATCGTCGCCACAAGCTGTTCGAGCCATCGACGACCATTCGATTTGGCACCCTCTACCGCCTCTATCGGCGGGCATACTACTGGGGTGGAGTGGTGGAGCTGGGCAGGCGCCTCTCGCTTGTAGTGGTCTCCGTCTTCTTCTCCAACCACCAGCTCTTCCAGATTGCGCTCATCATGATTGTGCTTGGCATGGGCCTCTATTTTGTTGTCTCGCGGCGGCCGTACTACATCCCTCTTTACAACAATGTCGACATTCGGCTCACAATCTGTCTGCTGGCCATCCTTCTCATTGGCTCGTCGTCCTACTCGGAGCGCACTTCGCAGTCGGGTGCGATCTCCACGTTCTTGGTCGTCGCCACCGTGCTTGCGCTTCTGGCTCTCCTTGGCGTTGCGATTCATTCTCTTGTCCAGGATGTTATCATCATCCGTCGTGAACAGGAAGGTGCCTTCCTCACTGCTGAGAAGCGACAGCAACTACTTGTGGGTGTCATTACCCACGAGCTGCAGGACATCGAAGCCGATCCCAACGTTCTTGTTGCGGCTGGCGAGTTTCTGGGTGTGCTCGAGGACGCCGTACTTGCGCGCGACACGTCGCGGAGGGAAGCGGCAATGAGAAACTCGATGGTCTTGGCGAACACGTTTGGATCGGTCGAGATGGACGTGCTCAACTCGTGCTTTGATGAGAACGATCACAGCAGCGTCGAGCCCTACGGACCCTCGATCTGTCTTCCACCTCCAGCCGCCCACACTCCCGGTGCCGAGTCTCCACCATTTGTCACCTCTGTCATCTCGCTGAACGAGCAAGGGGGTGCCATGCTGTCATCGTCATCGTCATCATCGTCGTCGTCGTCATCATCATCACCTTTGTCGTCGTCAACCTCCTTGTCGAATGCGGCATCCTTTTCATGATCACCACCCTCTGCAGAGAGGCGAGAAATCGGAAAATCGGATGTGTTTATCTGCCAGGCCCATCACGGCGACGGCGACTGTGGGTTGGCAAACTTGATGCTCCACGGGCATTGGGGGAAGTGGGCACAGGCCTGCGGGGCGGCCATAACCTTCATGGCATGGAGCGAGTACTGGACGAGATCCATCGACGGGAGAGTGGTGCCAGTGAGCTCGTTTGCGGCACGGGCAGCGGCGGCACGGGCCTTGCGCACAATGTGGGACTGAATCGGCGTGTACTCGCGGTTGTACGCCTCGGCGATGGCGCGGAGCTCGGCGGCGCCATCATCAAACGACGACGAGTTGCTCTTGTGGGCGAGGAAGATGAGATGCCGGGAGGCGACGTCGATGGTGAGGACATCGGACATGACGTTCTGGTACTCGGGTATGGTGCCGGCAACTGTAAACTGATCAGTGGCCGAGTCAAAGTACACCAGCGTCCGCTGGAGGCCGCCAGTCTTGGTCTCCTCGGCGCCGAGGCCGACGAGACGCGACGCGTTCGGATCGTACACCATGGCCTCGACAAACTCAGGATTGTCGATGATGTTCGAGAGCTGACCATCACCAGCCGAGAAGCCGTAAAACTTGATCTGGATGTCGCCGGTAACGTTGAGGGCGAGCTGGATCCAAAACGTGTCGACCGACGGATCATACACCGCGCAGCCGCCGAGAACATCGAGCATGTGCACGTCGGGAATGACGGCGAGACGAGTCATCTTGTGAGTGATGGGAGCAACGCGAACAAGAATGTACTCGTTGGTTGTAAAGTCCTGCCCGACAGCCAGCACTGCGCCACGGATCGAGTCATAAGCCAGGTACTGTCCCACGCCGATGAGCTCGGACGATTGGAAGGGAAGCGGTGTCTCGGCCACCACGTTGCCTGTCGCCACCGAAACGCCGACTAGCTTGACTGCGTTTGAAGCAGAAACGTTGGTTCCAATGATGTAGTAGATGCCAAGCTCTTCATCAAGAGTAGCCAGACCTTGACCTTGCGCCTCATACGGCAACGATGAAGAGACTTCCACAGGTTGGCCCGTGGTGGTGGAAATGGCCTCCAGTGCCACCGTAGAAGACATGCCATAGAGCGAGGTCCATGGTGCAGCAGAAGCCGCAACCACAAGGAGTGCAAGTACCACAAGTGCTTGCATACTCATGACTGACTGAGAGTGTGGTATGTCGACTTGGATTGCTGTGGTGGTGAGGACGGGACGGTGGTTTCTCGTTCCGTCGTCTCGTCTCAGGTGCGCCCACTCGGCCAACTTGCCCCTTTTGCACTCGCGTCGCTCAGCTGGCTCGACGGCTGGAGAGATTTCCTCGCCTTTACTGCCCTGGCCATCATTACCAGCGCATCATGCCAATTGGCACGGTGACCTGCGTGTACATGATCTACAGCCGCGTGTTTGCGTACACCCGAGATCAAGGTTAGAGTTGGGGGCGCCTGTAGCCCCCCCGCCGTCGTCGCCGTCGTCGCCGTCGTCGCCGTCGTCGCCGTCGTCGCCGTCGTCGCCGTCGTCGCCGTCGTCGCCGTCGTCGTCGCGCATCGTCATCGTCATCAATGGGTGGGTAGGTCGGTTCCCGCTCCTTCCGAGTCGACTGTATCAACACCAATCGGAGCTCTTAGCAAAGTAAGGTACCAGTTGCAAGTGCTAGCAACTCGTACCAGTCCCGGCAACTCCCGTCATCGATCCTCGACCCCCCCCCCCCCCCCCCCCCCCCTCTCTTTGGTATCTATCGTGGCGAAATTGGCTTTGTCAGTTTCCCCGCCAAACGGTCTCAGGAGGCACGCGACACGGCCACGGCCAAACGGCAACGACAGCACAGGCGACGACATCCACCTGACTGGCCGAGAGAGAGTGTGTGTGAGAGAGAAGAAGGGGACTGGTCATGTCTGAGGAGGAATGGGAGTATGTTGATGACGGAGAAGAAGGTTTGTGGGAGGAAGAAGCTGAAGGCGAGTGGGAGATGTATGGCGACGAGGAGGGCGACGACGACGGCGAGGACGACGGCGACGACGACGGCGAGCTACTCGAGGACGATGATGATGATGGTGCTGCCCTTCTGGCTGCTCTAGTAGACTCTGAGGAAGAGGTAACCGCTCCGGCAGAGTCATCTGATGCTGCCTTTGACTTTGGCGCCCTTGATACTACCGAGGATGGTGACGGTGATGGTGGTGGTGGTGATGGTGATGGCGGCGGCGACGATGACTCGGATGAAGAGTTTGACTTTGGCGCCCTTGATACGTCCGACGACGGAGATGGTGGTGATGGTGATGGTGATGGCGGTGGCGACGATGACTCGGATGAAGAGTTTGACTTTGGCGCCCTTGAGACTACCGACGACGGAGATGGTGGTGATGGTGATGGTGATGGCGGCGGCGACGATGACTCGGATGAAGAGTTTGACTTTGGCGCCCTTGATACGTCCGACGACGGAGATGGTGACGATGACGTCGACTTTGACTTTGGCGACATCGACTCGTCGCAGCCACAGGCCACCGATCTCGCGCACTCGACCTCGACGGCGGGCTTTGACTTTGGCGAGACTGAGAGCAAGTCGGCGTCACCGGAGCCCGAGCCGATCCCGCCGCCTGTCAAGGCGAGTCGGGAGAAGGGTGCGGCCAAGGCCAAGGGTAAGGGCAAGGCTAAGCCTCGACCAAAACCGGAACCGGAGGCGAAGCCTGAGCCTCAACCCGAGGCCAAGAACAAGGGCAAAGACAAGGACAAGGGCAAGGACAAGGGCAAAGGCAAGGAGAAAGACAAGGCCAAGGGCAAGGACAAGGCGTCCTCCGAGGACGGTTCGTTTGTTTATATTTCGCCGTTTCCGCCTCGAAAGTCGATTCTCGACTCTGACGACTCGGATGGGCCGAGGCTTTCGCGCGAGCCGTTCGAGTCTGACCGCCACCGCGAGGAGCGATATGACGCGGCATCGCGAGCGCTGCCGCCGACATGGCGGGGGCCGAGCGGCGTGATGCCGAGTGGGACGTGCCGCGGCAGAGCTACGCGGGCGCGGGACTGGGCGGCGACGACGAGTACGAGTACGACGATGAGTACAAAGAACCGGCGCGGCGGCGACGGAGGCGGCACCGCAGCCACCACTCGTCGCGACGACGGCCCGATTCACTTGCGCCTCCGCCCAATGAGCGCCGGCGCTTTGGACAGGACCTTGATCTTGAGCTTGACTTTGACCTCGATCTCGGGCCGCGGACGTCAGGGCGCGACGTAGGCTCGTCGCGGCACCGACGGCGAACGTCGCGGCACTCGCGGCGGACGTCTCAACGCGGCGGACAGCGCTCGAGCGGGCTGGACGACTTGCGGCCGCTGTCGTCGGTCGACCCGCTGCATCTGCAGCCGCGCCGGCCGCGGGCGGCACAGCCTGTCAGGTACGAGCGGCTGCGGCAGCCAGGCTACGAGCGATTGCGTTCACGCTCGCCGCCGCGTCCGCCGGTGGTGCGTGCCATCTCGCCGCTGCAGCTCCACCGTGGTGCGCTGGGCCCAGGATCGGGAGCGGGAGCGGGTCAGGCACCGACGCTGTTTTCGTCGGCACCGCAGCACACCCCTACCACCGGCGACGCCGCTCGGTTCCGCCTCTGCTCGCCCGAGCCACAGAGCGTCCGGCCCGGTTTTGGCACCAACGCACCGAGCGGATCGCTCGCCGGGCTTTCGACCCAGTTTGACGAGCTTGCGCTCGGCTCGATGCCGCCGGTCCGCTCGCCGCCACGCGCCTGGCCTTCGCAGCTGGCGTATCCAGTGCAGCCGCCGCCAGCGCAGCAGCAGCAGCAGCAGCAGCAGCAGCAGCAGCAGCCGTTGCAGCCACCGCCGGCGTCGTATCCGTACTACCAGCCGCCGCCGCCGCCACACTACGCCCAGCTTCCGCAGTACCATCCGCATCACTACTCGCCGCCGCAGCACCAGCCGCAGCAGTACTCGCTGCCGCACGGCCACGGCCAGCACCGCGGCTCCCAGCCGGCAGCTCCGCCGCATTCATCACGTCCGATGAATGCTGGCTTGTCGTCTCTCCCGCAGGGCTCGGAACTGATGGCGTACTACGCCTCGTTGCCAGATCCCAAGGCAAGCGCTGGTGCAGATGCTGGCGTTGATGCCAGTGCTACTCGCGCGACCAACGAGCCAGGCGCCAAGTCCAGGCTTGAGGCCAAGGCAAGTGAGTCAGCACAGCCTGCGCCGCCGCCGCAGTGGCAGTCGCCCCCGCAGCCGCCCTATCCGATGCAGCACCAGTTTGCACCACAGCACCCGTCGCAGCACCCGCCTCATCCCTACGCCGGCCACCCGCCGCACTCGCCGCAGTACCCGAACCTTGCGTCCAGCTCGCAGCTCTCATCGGGTCCCTCGGGCGGCATGGGCTTGTCCGGTGATCTCCCTCCGTCGTCTTCCGCCTACGATCCTAGCCCAGCACCGGCCACAACGTGGCTCTAGCCGCTGCGCTTGCGTACGCGTTGGGTTGTGTGTGCGCGTTCGGGGGTCCAACCTTGCCTGTGTGCGATGGAGCGTGCGATGGAGCGCAAGGAGTCAGAACCCGAACCAGAGGCCGAACCAGAGCCAGAGCCAGAGTATGGATGCATGCATGCTTAATGCTTGTTGTTGAGCTGTTGAACACCTCCCAGCTCTCTCGTGTCCACCCTAATCCCCATCACCCGATCGCTCTGCCGTGACCGAATGACACCACCGGACGAACCACAAATCTTCCCCCCCCCCCCCCCTCGCTTCTCCTCGCCAGACTTGGCCCGGACTTGATTTACTACAGCCACCACCACTTCACGCTCTCTCTCACCGTACGCGCTCCCCACCGAGCAAGCGAGAGAGAATAGGGAGAGGGGGAGAGAAATTGGGAGAGGAAGATAGTGAGGGCGTAGTTTAGAAGAAAAGGGAGAGGGAGAGGACATAGGGAAGGAGAGAGGCAGGGTGTAGGGTGTAGGTGGTAGGGGGGGAGGGGGGGGAGGTGTGGGAGCAGGGGGGGGAGGTTTTGGGGCGATGGAGAAAAAACAAACAAAGCCACTGGATCTTCCCCCTCTTTCCACCCCCTTCCGCCTCAA